GGGGTGGTCCCGCTGCAGTCCCTTCTCCGCTTCTCCATCCTGTCTGTGTTTGGAGCATGCACCTGGCATATTTTCTCAAACTGCTATGGCCAGGACTTGAACCGTGGCCAGCCGTGTGCAATCTGGCTCTTCTGAAAATACAATTTTTAGGGAACCAGCAGTTAGCGTAATGGCTATGTCGCTGGACTCCCACGTAGTCGACCGCGGTTCGTGTCCCGGACCTGGTGGCTTAGAACTCACGCCGGGCACATGTGCATGCGTGCTCAAGATCCCGAGAGGAGAATGGAGGAGAAGGGATTGTGGCGTGACCATCCCCCCGGGGGGTGATTTCTCGCTTTCTGTCTCTATGTCTCACTCTGTCTGTCTGGCGAGCGCACACGCCCTATAGCAAAAAAACTCTCTCAAAACAAACAAACAAAAAATTCTAATTTTTGTCATAGAGTACATGCACTTGCCAGAGAGAAAGAAAGAGAAACAGAAAAATCTAAAGCACTCTCCAGAGTGATGTCCACCCTGCAGTCCTTTCTCTTCCATTCTCTTCTTTGGATTTGGGGTATGTATGAACACATATCATGCATATTTTCTAGGCTGACAGGTCCAGGACTCAAACCATGGCGTCAGCCATGTGCAATTCAGAGCCTTAATGACCACATCACCTGCTAACCCTCCTCTACAACTTTTTAGATCCACTATGGAAACACTGAACCACCTTTATGTTGCAAAAGAGTCCACCAAGTGCATTTGTTGTAATTTCTTTATAGTTTTTCTGTTGCCATACTTTCAATCGCTACAAATTTCTGCTACTATCACATTATGTTGTTTTGCCATATTTTTTCATGAAAGTGTCTCAATGAAATTTTTGAGGCGAACACAATAGACATTTTATTGACTTGATTACTATGATAAATTTATTTTTAAAGAGTTTGTGACAATAAACCTAGCAATGTCCTTTATCAAAGTCCCCAATAGTAAGTTATAATATTTTTAAAGAATTATTTTATTTAACTTTATTTAATATTATATCATTATTATTTTTCAGTTTGATCAGAGAGAGACAGAGAGAGAGAGAGAGAGGGAGTAAGAAAGCAAGCCACCAGGTCCGAGACTTGAACCATGGTCAGCCATGTGGGAGTCCAGCGCCTTTAACCACCAGCCACTTGCTGGCCCTATTTTTTAAAAAATCTTTCATTTTAGTTTGTGAAGTACAGCATCTCTGTGGTTTAAATATTTAAATACTTACTTTTTAATACCTATAGTTACAGTTATTCGACTTTAGTGCATGAACATGTATTACACTTAAAACATTATTAGAGTTCTAAATAAGGAGATGACAAAATGGTTATGTCACAGACTCCCATTAGTTGAACATGGTTCAAGTCCCAGACCTGTTTGCTTAAAAGTCATGCTGGACATGTATACACATGTACCCAAAATCCCAAGAAGAGAATAGAGGACAATGGAATTGCAATGTGGCCATTCCCCCAGGGATGATTTATCTCTTTCTGTTCCTCTCTCTCTCTCTCTCTCTCTCTCTCTCTCTCTCTGGTGAGTGCACCTGCCATATAGCAAAAATGTCTCTCTAGAAAAAAAGAACTCAAAAATAATATTCTCAATGTAAACAGACTTATCTTTGAAAGCAAATAATCTGTCCCAAATCATCATTTTGTACAATCATCATAATTAGGACATTTAGTCACCTAACCACCATTTGCCACCATCTCTTGATAGTACCACAGTAGCAATTTATTATAAATATAGTGTTTTTACCTCCCCCTTTTCTGAGAGAACATGTTCCCCAGGAATGGAAACTGCCAATAAATTAAATGTGAAATAGACCTAATAGCTTATTCAAAACCACAGAATTTTAAATACAAATCTGACAGAGTGCCAAGACTTTTTTAATGCATCAAAAAGGAAAAACTGAAAGTTTATACTTAACGATAATTATCTTGGACTCTACAAAACAATAATTTAATAAAGAAGTAAAAATATATCTATTGTCTTTCAGATCCTAAGTATGTTGAGTGCAACACTCTATGGTTAAGAGAACGGTCTATGGACCAAGACAAACTAAAATTTAAATGCCTTGTGACTCAAAGCAACTTATTTAACTCCTCAGCTGCTTCATTTGTCAAAAGAATATGAAAATTTAAGGGTTTAATTTCTCATTAAATGTTGTTATTCAGTGTACTTAGCTACCTATACTTCATCAAATAATCTAGACTAGGCTCTCTCAAAATGAAATATTGTTAAGTAATTGATTTATATATGTGTGTGTGTGTAAAAGCATTGATAAATACTAGTAATAATTCTGTACCATAAGAATTAAAGAAACATATCATATTCTAATATTATTATCACACAGACAAAAATAAATAGTCTGTCTTTATGACATGGAAAGTTTTGCATGACTAAAAATATCAGAAATGAAATGATAAATTTTTGGACTTATTTAAATTTAATTATACTTTATAGTCAGCATTTTTAGAATATATTTTTGTTCAAAGATTTTTTAAATAAAACATATGACTATAGTAATGTAAAAATGGGCCCTAAACACTTTTAACATTATGATAAAAATGTATTCATTTCACCATTTCCATTTACAAAATAAATACTTAGATATTAAAGTAGCTTTTTCTCCACCTAACCACTGGATCACTTAAAATTTGTAAAATACATGATACTTATAAAACAGTGAAGTCTAAGAAAGTCTTCCTTTCATTAAAATAGGATATTAAAATTCTACCTTAAATAACATAAATCTTACATAAATGCCTTAAAAGTATTTTTAAAAGGTAATTAAATCCATGAGAAAGGAAGGGAACAAGACCTAGGGAGCTGAGATCCACTGTGTTTTGAATGCACTTTCCTGTATGACTTGGAACTCAATGGAGCTTGTGAAACATTAACTTCAATTATACTGAAAACCCCAAACAAACCCTGGACATTGTAAATCTAATTAATTTTAAACACATGGGGACTGGAATCAATGAGCTTTGAATTAACTCAATCCAAATTACCTAATATTAAAACATAATTGAAATTCAGTTGCTTTAAATTGCTTTCCAGATGCAAAGGCAGAATAGATTACAATACTAAGGTTTATTACAATTTTATCTATTGTTAAAGTTTCAGAAGAGTGTTTCTTTTATAGAAACATTTTATGCGTGATTCTGACATTAAGAAAAATAAGATTTTCACTGTTACTTCTGTATGTTTTTTATGGAATTTGGAGAGCTTTTATCAAATTCCATATCTCTAAGAAGGAAATGTTTTCTTCTTATTAAACTAAATACTAATTTCAAGTACAGAAGTGCAAACCATTTAACATATCTGGTATTATCTTTAATAAAAGTATAACTTTCATATTTCCATATTGATGAGACAAAGCATAATTTTAATATTAGCCTAATAATGAGAATAAAAATTACAGTAAAGAGAATAAATTACACTGCTAGATAATAACAGTGAAAATTATGCTAAGATGAGACTACATTTTCCAAAAGAAAGACAAGTTATTTTGAAAAATCTTCCACTTTTTGGAAATATGGTATCATTACTTCTCTCCACTTATAAAAGTAAAATCACTGTGTGAAAATGTTATTACTTTTGTGTTATTTAAACCAGTCTCTTCATAAGAGTTGATCCAACTATTCATCAGGATGCCTATTATTTATATTCTAATTTAATTTCCACACGGGGTCATTAATTCTACGTACTTCCAGTTTGCATGTATAGAAAACTGTGAGGAATAGATAACACACAATTTAAGTCAGTCCACACTGAAAATGTAATATACACATACAACATGTGACTACTTATACCTGAGAAAAAATGTGCTTTGAAGCCCTTCTTGGATACCGTATTGTCAGATTTGAATTCAATTCTCATATTGTTGAATTGGGATGTGATCACTTCGGGCACTTCAGCTCCACAGAATTTGCCATGCAATTTAGACTCAGAGGAAAGACCACTCCAGATCTCCACGTAATCGTATTTGCAAACCTAGGAAACACATGGTTATCACCATCACCAGATTTGAGAGTACCAGATGATTGACATTCGTTTTTGAAAAATGTATCGTGCTTTTCCCTCTTTATTCCCAAGGTAGTTAAACTGCAATGAACAGATAAAGGAAAAAAAAATCAAGAAAAGGCCTCTGAGTCAGAGGACATGAAAGTCAGTTTAAGGACGAATTTTCCTCTGAACTTCTCTGAGAGATGTATGTGTAAGTGTAAGCTTATCTGCATGTATTAATAATATGCATCTTTTTAAAAATATACAAAAATTTACAAAAATCAAGATAAATATGTGTTGAGATGATGAGGCTGATGGTCATAAGAGAAGAGGTCCTCATGAATTTTTTTTTTAATTTACAGTAGAAATTTTGAAAATATTTGTTATGTACTATTGAATACTGGAAACAGTGATATAAAATAAGTCCATCTGGCCTATTAAAACAACCAATAGTAATAGATATAATTCTTTTCATGGCAAGAATGTGAAAACTGAGGTTTAGAAACTTATATATCACGTGTCAAAATTATACTTGTCATGCATGACGATGCAGTGATTAGCAGCATGGAACTTGTCTCAGCCCACTGATGTCTCCTGAAATACTACATTCTACTCAGAACAGCACCGTTAGTAACTTTCGAAGTGTGGGACATACTTGGTACACAATAAAAATGATCCTTTGACTTCTGAATGAACAGAGCTGATAGTTCTTCATTTCTTTGAGTTAACTAGGTACTATGAAATTACCCTGGAATTGCTGCAGGACTGTCAACAAAAACAATTCTCTTCTGTGGACCAGAGGCAGGAATTTATACTGAAATGAGGTGGACTAATTCTGACTTACATGGAAAGTGCTGTTACCACCAGAATAGAAGAAGCTAGGTGCATGCGCTAGGTGAATGCCAGGCATTCTGAAGCCGTTTTATGGCCTTTAACAGATGTTTTCAAAAGAAGCTTTTCCAACTTTCAATAGGACACATTCTAAAGAACACGTGTTGTATGAATGACCTTATTACATAAATGTGTAATTAGCAAGGTTTAATAATGCATGTGATTGAACCCTGGGGCATGATCTGTACTTTGAAAATATGTCAACTCAAATTACTGGTTCTTGAGACATTAATTAGGTGATAAATAAGCAAAATGCTGCTAAGAAAAATGAAAAAAACTCTTCTGTCTATATTGTTATAACAACAGTATTTGTTTAGAGATGACTCCAGCACAGCATAGAAGAATGTTTCCAACGCTGAAGTCCTTTGGCATTGGCTTTTCTTTGAGGTATCAATATAATGAATACAATAACAAAGTTTTAAACTAACCAGGCATTCTATAATTCAAGATTTTGCTCAGGCCTTTTACTTGAAATAGCAATCATACTATGCAAATACACAGAATTCTCTAATAGCTTTTTACACAGTAACACCATTATAAATGAAAGAATTCTGGGATATGTTAACAAAGTTAGTAGAGTCCTGAATGATGATGACTGAATGATGAATAACGACAACTCCTATAAGAATAATGCTTTCAGAACACAATACCAGATTTATATAAAACCATCTACCCTCCTTCCTTCCAGAAACAAACCACGAGCCTTCTTAAAAATATCTATCAATTAATAAATGAAAATGTCACATCTGCCACATTAATGGATTTAGGAAAATTTACAAGGGTAGAAGTCATTCAATAACAAGTTCACGTCAAATCACAGAAGTCCCTTTTCAAAAAGTTTAGCTTCTATAACACTTTTCTAAAAATTCTATTTACATGATTTTCTTCATTTCAGTATTTTCCCAAATTGGAGGTAGTTATTAAAGGAAAATCATGTTTCATGCGGATCAAGTATGTGATAAAGGATAAACTGTAGTCTTGCCATCATAAAACTCACACATCATGTTACAGAAAATCTCAAAAGGCCCATTGAGTTCTAAACTTGCACAGTTTTCTGAAATGGGTAAGTTCATCACATTTCAGCCCTTAACATGCTTTGAGAAACTAGAGAAGTCAATCACCTCTTTTGCTTTTAGGCCACTTGAGAAACGTTTTAAAATGCACAGAAGTGCCTGGGCTGCTGAAGGCAGAATTAAGAGATATATAAACAAATAAGTGATCTAAAGAAAGAAAAGTAAGCAGTAATACAAGAAAAAGGAAAAGATAGATACAGAAAGCAATGTTGTGGTATAAAGCTCACAAATATTACCAACAATGATTGCCCCACATCTGCAAGTGTTCAACTGATAAACACCGAACGCAAAATCATTTCTATGAGTTCATTTTATCATATCCTACGAGTGTTGAATTATATTTACTTAAGTACACATAGAAAAAGAAGTTGTTAGGAGAAAGGAAATAAAATAAAAAAGAAAGTTAAAGCATCAAACAAAGCAAAGTTTAAATCACCATGGACCAATTATACAAAAGACTTTCTTCTCACTTTTAGGCTTGACAGTCCATTTGCATGTGGTGTGTGTGCACTAGCACCCAGGAATTTTTCAAATAAAGTATTTCACTTGTTTCAATGTGGTCAAAGACTGCACTTTTAGTACAGTATGCTATATTTTATAAAGAAAAGACAGCTTCAGTTCAATGTATATTTTAATACATTGAGGCTAAAATTACTTCTTTTTTTATGAACCATGAACATAGTCATAATGAAAAACTACATACACAATAAAAAATATACCCCTATTCACAAGTAAAATATACCAAGTTCTCCCAAATGGATAATTTTATCAGGTCACACCAGTGGATTTTGGTTTATTTTTTCCTAGAAAAATCTGTGTGACATGAAGTTGACCCTACATACTCCATAATTCTTTAATAAATGAAGAAAATGGTGTATATTAAATACACTGTGTAAAGACTCCCCTTGGGTAATTTTCAGTCTCCCAGAAACAGTTTGAAATATCATCCAATGCCAAAAAGCAGATACAGAAATAAACAATAAAACAAAGAAGGACTACTCTATTTATACTATTGTTCTACTTTTTTTTTCTTGTTTTATGTTTGCCAGTTTGCCTTCAGGGATTCCCAAAATATCATTAAAATAAATTACACTGATTGTTCACTTACTTCATTGCCTTCCAATTCAAAAAACTCAAACTTCATAGATATTCTGTACTGAGTTGGTGCAACCACTTGCCACACACAGTTTTTATTAGGAGGGTACTCCTTGGGCCAGCCAGGGGTAGTTATAGTGCCATTAAGTTTGGTAAGAAGTCCACCACAAGCAGCTAAATGAAAAGGAAAGAAAAGAAAAACATGCTCTTTTTAAGGTCACATCCCTTCTTAGGATTCTCCCATTGATACTCAAACATCTCAGCATTAAATTACAACCTCAGGATTTCAAACTCTAGAAAGTACCATCTCTGCACCTTAGTCTTTAGTAAGACTATTTTAGTTATCAAATTCCATTTATAAAATGGAATTCTGTAGCTCGGAATCCACGCATATTATGGTTGTACTATATTTCTGATTATTTTTTATTACTATGATTACTATTTATACATTCAATAGCTATATATCATTTAGTTTGAATAGAAAATTTACCCAACATGAAATACACCTCAGAGAATTAAAAAAGAGAGAGAGAGAGAAAAGTAAGACATTCGTGGGACACAGAAGTGGTTTATTACCTGTTGATGATGACATGTATAGTATTTCTGATTTGGTTGGGTGAGCAATATAAAGAAAGCTGGTCTCAGTTCTCTCTATACACACACACACACACACACACATATATATATATATATATACACACACACACACACACACACAACATACATACATATACATTTTTTTTTGATAGAATGTGTGTGCACATACACCAGAAAGAGAGGGGAAGAGAGAGAGAGGAAGAGAAGCATCTCTGGCAGAGTCTCGTCATGGCATGATCCCCTTTCCCTAGCACTTGAGTTCCTCAGGATCTTGGACAAATAAGCAAATGCCAGAATATTTTTAAGCTGATCCCAGGATCTAATCTGTGGCCAGGCACATGGTCCAGCACTGCCATTCAATGTGCTACCAACTGAGCCACCAGGCTGGGCCATTAGTTTTTTAATCTTTTAAATAAGCTCAGTAAAACCCTGTCATGCATTGATTATGACATAATTGAGAAGAAATAAAATTTTGTGAGATTGATAAGAGTTGTAAAATTAAAGAAAGAGATAAATGTAAGGCGCAATAAAGTCTGATGCAGTAAGAACAAAATGAACTATTTCCTCAAAGTTTTTTTTCCCTGCAAGACTAATAACACTGTATCCCCTGAGTTAGCAGTTAAGATAAATGCTGAGAAACAGAACATATTTATCATTCCAAAAAAAAACCTTCATTTTAACTAGTTTTCTTTCCCTTTCAAGGATTTATTTTAAAAAGGTACTACTTATATTCCCTTTCTTCAGTAAAATAAGCAAAATTATAGTATCTAGGGCAAGTTGAGAGGAAAGAGCATACACAACACACAGGTCATAATTAATTTCCAGGAAAAAATCAAGTATTAGCTAAAATAACTGATCTCTTTATTTGCCTTTGAGTATGGGCGTATATAGATGTGTGTATGTAAACATAGTTATAAATGTATAAACTATTACCTGTACATTCAATTCTATTACATTTTATAAATTGCTATGAAGGGAGATATTTATTTCTAGGTCTCACATAGAAATATAGTCACGTTACTTTCTGGTTGCCTGGTATACAATACCATCTTTTAAAAAAATACGGCAGTTTTGCAGAACCATGTCATTTTTATTCTAGTATCGGGAAGATATTAGTAGGGTAAGATAAAAAATTTTGAAAGCCAAACAGGAAAGTTCAAACTTTTAAGAAGAGGGCATCTCTAATTTTTTGAATAGGTCAGCAGGGATGTGGCATTCATTAATTAAGTAAATAATTTTGCCATATTTGCCTATTATTATATCATCTATTACAGCAGATAAGAAAGTGTTTCTTTTCAAAAGACACATTTTCATGGAGATTCCAAAAGTAATAAATATGTCAGTATACGTGACATTAAATAGCTACAAGTTCTAAGAAGGTTAATTTGGCAAAACTTTCAAAAGGGAAATAAAGAAGGAATAGGAAAGGAAGATCAGACAATTTATTCTGCCTGTAATTCAAGGTAGGGGGTCTGGAATAGCTTAGGGGCAGGGAAAATGAGAAAGCACCAGCTTTAAATTCTGAAGGAGAACATAGGCCATAGTAACATAACACTGAACATTGTACAATGTAATCATCTGAAAATGTAAAGAGGAAATGTGGGCAAAAATCAACCATGTGTTCATAAAATACATACTTAGGTCCTGCTTTATACCTGATTATACTAGAAGCTAGAGATGAAAAGGTAATTCAGGGGCCAGAGAGAGGCACAGTGGTAATTATAAGCTCTATGAGGCTGGGAAGGGTCTAGATTTGAGTCTAGAGACCACCCTAAACACGCAGTGTACACGTGCCCATAATCTAGGGGTGAATGAAGATGAGGGTGGATGGGGGGCATCAAGACACTGTTGGGTGTGACTCTCTCTGTCTCTTATAAAAGAAAGAAACTTCAAAAAAAAAAAAAAGAATATTCAACTCACAACTGTTCAAGTTAATAAGAGAGATGTACATATAGACCATTTTAAGAAAGAATAAAAAGAACCGATGAATAAACAGATGAATGATGAACAAATTGAAGAAGGGATAGAGGGGAAGATATGGTAGATGAATAGATAAAAATCTAGATCCTGGGGTCAGCAGATGGCGTAACGGTTACATTCCAGGACTCCCTCATGATCGTCCATGGTTCAAGTACTGGACCTGGTGGCTTCAAAATCATGCTGGGCACATGTGCTCGAGTGTCCAAGATCCTGGGAGGAGAATGATGGAGAAGGGATTGTGGAGTATCCATCCCCCCCACCCCCCGCGCGGTGGGGGGGGGTGATATTTCTCACTTTCCCTCTCACACACCCTCTCTCTGGTGACTTCAAGTGACCTAAGACAAAAGCTCTCAAAACAAATTTTAGAAATTAAATATCTAGATCTAAATAGAGATGGAGATAGAAATACACACACAATACACACAAAGTGGCCTGGTAACAAAAGGAGGAAAAAACAGATTTCAACACAAGAATCCAGGCAAGGTTTTATATCAGCTGTGACTACAAAATGGATCTTAGTAGTTAGTTAAGAAAAGAGGTTGCTAGAGGGAGAAGGGAAGGAAGAAGGAGACGAGAAGAGAGAAAGAGTATATGAAAGAAAGAACAGAACAGAGGAGGGGTTTCCAGCCAGAGAGTGCAGGGCCAATCCAGTGATACCTTCGCAGCTCCTCTTGTCAGGCCCCAGCTCGTAGCCAGGCTCGCAGGCGCACTGGTAACTGCCCAGGGTGTTCAGACATCGCTGCTCACAGCCTCCACGGTCAGGTTTGGCACACTCGTCTTCCTCTGCAAAAATGGTGACAGTTACAGAACTACTACTTTGTTTTTTATGTACTAGAGTATAATATCTTTTAAAAATACGGTGTTTAATGACTCTGAATATTTTTTAAAAAATCAATTTCTTCAACAAAGGAGTAGGAATAATGTATAAGCTTTTTGCTGGTTAATTCATATTGCTACAGTGCACAAAGCACAGGACGATGATAAGGACTAGAACCTAGGGCAGAGCCAGCTGAAGGGCACCTTGTCTCAGACAGGGTGTGTTTGCTGTAACTTTGAGCTCAAATGGGAATTAGCTCATGATTAAGAAATAGAAGGCAGAAAATGTAAATTAAAGAGAAATAAAACTCAGAAACTGACTGAAACAAATAAAACTCAGAAACTGACTGAAACTCTTTAAAGCATTTAGAGTTTACATTTACAGGCATTTCAATCCAGAAAATGTAATCGTTTTATATTGTTATAAATATAAGTATTATTTATATATATATATTTGTATATATATATTATATTATATATATATATATATATATATATACACAAAATATACAGATAATTCAACTAAAGCGCCCCATATACATTGTCATTTCACAGTCTTCCAAACAACTCGACAAAACTTTGTGAAGAGTAAGATTGCCACTATACTGTCACAGTCTATAACATCTAGTGATATAAGAGAATATTTGGAACCTCACAGGCTGTCAGTGAGCTATTGGATGACCAAATAATTGCATTAATATATTATTGCCTCTAGGAAAAGGCCTATCTAACTTTTTACTTTTTGGGGGGGTTTAATCACCAGATTTAAAAAGATATTGTATAAAATACATTTAAATAGGAGAAATATGGAAGTGACAATAGAAACAATCTTTAAAACAATAAAATGTATTCATGAAGTTAAAGATGAATGATAAACTTAGAACCCAATACAACTGTTAGGAATATAAAAACTCAATTTAATGTATAACTAGCCTATGAACCAATTTTGGGTGGTGTGACAATCTTTCATAAGTAACAAAATATATTATTCTACAAAGATATACTCAAGTGAGTGCTTATGAATTTCTTATGTACACCTCTGGAAAAAAATAATAAAAAGTTATTGGATGTTGATGATACAGATTTTAATGTCTTTGTATTGACTGATATGCATGGTATACCTTCTGGAAAAAGAAATGTAGTACACTGTAAAGTTTTATGTGATTCAGTGTAACATGAACAAGATTGTGATAACAATAAATAAAGGAAAAAATTTCATATGTACACATATAATGTTACTATTTGTACGAAAATAGTTTTTACCTCAGTAATACCAACACACCAAATATAAGACATGAGAATAAACTAAAATGTCATTGTACATTTCATCTTTTAATTAATTTTTCATTATTTTTGGAAAATTAAAGTTGTTTAGTAATAACTGCTTGTCAAAAAGACATTTTATATCCATAATATTCTCCTAAGGAGGTCATAAATTCCTTCCAGATAGGGAAAATGCTTCCATGTAAGGGATACTTCAGAAATGCTGGTACCTGGAATAAACTGATAAACTATGTATCAGTAAACTTGCTCTTGTTATGTACCTTTTGTTGATTATGTATATTGCAGATATATTCCCTCTGTCTATATATCTCTTTCTAGACTTTTCTATTTTAATAACTTCATTAAAAAGATAGTAGGGGTCAGCAGGTAGTGTAGTGGTTAAGGCGCTGAACTCCCACATGGCTGACTGCAGTTTGAACCCGGGACCTGGCAACTTAAAACACACCAGGCATATGCAAGTGCATGCCCCAAATCCCAAAAGGAGACTGGAAGAGAAGAAACTGTGGAGTGCCCATACCCCCAGAGGGTGATTTTTACTTTCCCTCTCTGTCTTTTTCTCTCTTGAGTGAGCACATGCATCCTACGGCAAAACAAACAAAAAACAAAACAAAACAAAATAACAGATGGTTAGAGCCCTACTTAATGGTCACCCAACTCTGTGCTGCAAAGTTCGAAATGCCAGTATTTTGCTAATAACCAATTCTATCAAAACCCACCAAAATATCCTGAAAACAGTGCATACTTAAACTTGAAATATTTTACTATACTTCTCCCCCAACTTAAAGTAAATATGAATTTGGCCTCAACAAAGATAATCCCACATTTGTAAATGATTACAAATTACCTTTGAAAAAGTTGGCAGCAAACCCTGCCTTATTCACAGTTCCATCAGAAACGAACTTCATCCACAAGGTATTAGAGGTAGATCTTATATCTTCAGGTTTATCATACCCACAGAAACGCCCTATCAGAGGGCTGTTTTCGCTGGTTCCATCGCGAACTTCTAGGTAGTCATAGGCACAGTTGTCATGTCTTTCAATCTGCCATAGGACACAGATACATGAACATAAATCTCATTGATAGATAAGACAATTTCTGTGGTTCCACAGCATAGCACTAACATGCTGTTCAGGAGAAGCTAACTGCTAGGTGGTGAGTGCAGTTTGGATCCTGGCCCAGTTTGAATTACAACAGGCATGTGCACATGTGCCCAGGACATGACAAGTTGAAGGACTGGAGGGAGGGAATTGCAGTATTACTAGCCCCTGTGGAAGTTCCTTGTCTGTTTTTCATGCGGTTGAAGGACTGGAGGGAGGGGATCGCAGTATTACTAGACCCTGTGGAAGTTCCTTGTCTGTTTTTCATGCTCACGTATGTGTGCATGACTAAAGAAAAAATAATAATCTATGCCAGATATTCCGTAAGCAGGGTATAATTTGCTCTGAAGCATAGTTATGGACATTTTTCGTGGCAGGCCAGCAGGGGGCATGGTGGGAAAGACACCTGACTCCCCTGTGGGTTGGGGTCCGGGCTTTGAAACTCATGCTGGGCATGTGTGCATGCGTGCCCAAAATCCCGAGAGGAGAATGGATGAGAAGGGATTACAATATGGCCATCCCCTGAGGGTGATTTCTTGCATTCTGTCTCTCTGTCTCTCTGGTGAGTGCACATGCTCTACAGCAAAATTAAAAATAAATAAATAAATAAATAGCCAAGGTTCATCAATAAAATCATTATTTTACTCAATGACAAACTCTATTAAAATTCTCTTGAATACATCACAAGCTTTGGTTATAAACCTGATTTTGAAGGAAGAATCTGATAATGGAAGATGACATGTGTTCTGAGTCTGTGAAATCCTTAATCTATAATTAGCATGACTGTATGCAGAAAGACTCTAGTGTGGCAGAATCAGCACTAGCTTTCCTTTTCTCAAAGTAACATGGCCTTGTTTGGATGAACCCTTTTACCTTCACACACTCCTCTTGACCCATATGACCTGGGGAAACTCCACCTCTTCCCTTAACAATGAAATATTAATGACAGTTCAGACTATTGGTCTATGAACTCTTATGGAAACTACATGCCCCTTGGCCTATATTTGGCCTTGAACTTCTTTCAAAAAACAACTGAACCAAAATTTATAAATTATTTTAAAAATGATGAGATACTGTCTAAACAAATGTCTTGCTTTTTATTTTTTCACAGAAATAGGTACTATCCCTGAAGCTTAGTGAAGGCAAACTGCATAGCAGATTTGAAGCTAGAAAGTACAGAAACTACCATTTAATTATCACATCTGGTTAACTATTATTTAATCTAAAATTCATTCGTTTGTATAATTTTCCTGTTACAAAAATGTCAGAAAGCATATTCGCTCAATAGACAACACTTGAATGCATGAAACTGTTGGTATAGTTAGCAACAGAATCCTTTTCTAGATATATCAATACATTAACAATGACAGTCTTCAAACTAAGTAGCATAAGGACAACCAGAAAAAGATTCGAATGCACAGATTTAGTTAGAACTAAGTACAACGTTCTCTGCTTCCTTTTCCCTCATCACAAAACATTCACTCATTTCTTCAACAAATATTCAGCACTTAGTGTCTGCTAGGCATTCTTTATGGTGCCTGTAACCATAATTCAACAATATAACAAAGAACCTTGCCTTTCTGGAATTTACATTCTAGAGATAGACTGGAAAGGAACCAACAACAAGATAAATAATTAAATAAAACAAAGGGAAGAAACACCTAACAGCCATGAGACTGTAAAATGCTCTACTGAAAATAACGTATATGGTAACATCCTTCATTTGTTTGACAAATATTGCAAGCATACTTTGAAAAACTATATTGTGCACTACAGCAAAGCGCAAAGATTGAATGTAAATAAGAAAGCATAAAAAAGAAAAAAAAGAAAGAAAAATATTGGAAAGTAATAAATTACCCATGAGAAAATGTAAAGCGAAATGCAAAGTATGAGACGTCTAAAACAAGAAGGGATGCAAGAGGAATAAAAGTTACAATCTGAAATTATACCATCAAGTAAGGGCTCATTGAGGATGATTTATAATTTCAGATTCATTTTCCCAAAAATGAATTCTCAGTGTGAGGAATTATGAGAATAAGTGGAAAAAATTGATTGAAACATCCCATTTAACAAGCACATTTTTTAAGACTGTGGGTATTTAAATAGAGAGAGAATGTGGCAGAGTGAGACTAATAATTTGATTACCAGAGATAACAAGATCAATACATCCAAACACACACACACTTTTGTGGCAGTCTTTTATATACTCCTTTTAATATGAAAGGTTTTCTTTTCTTTTTTTTTTTTTTTTTTGGAGAGGTTTTCACTATAAGGCGCGTGCGCTCGCCAGACAGACAGAGAGAGACATAGAGACAGAAAACGAGAAATCACCCCCCACGGGGGATGGTCACACCGCAATCCCTTCGCCTCCATTCTCCTCTCGGGATCTTGGGCACGCATGCACATGCGCCCGGCGTAAGTTTTAAGCCACTGGGTCTGGGACACGAACCACGGTCGACTATGTGGGAGTCCAGAGACATAGTCATTATGCCAACTGCTGGTTCCCAAGGTTTTCTTTTTTTTTATAAATACAGAAACAGATGGCTGTTCTTCAGTTAAGGAGACATACAAAATAAAATTTAAAATTCTCAAGGTGTATGCTTTTATGAGAAAAGCAAAAACCAAAAACAAAACCAAAACAAAACAAGCAACTTTGAATAGTGACAAACTGTAGGAAGCAAAACCAAAGATCCCAGCAATCAACTCATCCTAACCTAATTAGAGCAGCACAGAATGGCTTGCTTCTGATTTACAGATCATAATGAAAGAAGGAAGAAAAGAATGAAATTGAGAAAAGAAATAGAAAACGAATATATAAACTCCTTGTAACAGAAGGTCTGAAATAAAATTACGTGACTTCATGTTGGAAATCATGCTACAATATAAATCAAGAAGTTTTCTCACAAAAGGTCTTTCTTTTAATTACAATTTAGGATGCTTACAGCTTTTAAAAATTATAGGACCAGCAGTGGCACAGCAGTAAAATACGGTGCTCTGTGAGGCTGAGCAACACAGAAAGGTTGCAGGTTCATGTTCAATCAAGACTGCCTTGCGTTCACAGGGCATACATATACCCATGATCTGTGGCTGGATGTGGCTGAGAGGTGAAGCCCAGTGTCAAGACCCTGCTGGAGGTTCTTTCTGTCATTCTTTCTCTCTTTCTCACTTCTGGGAAAAATAAATCTTTTTAAAAAGTTACAATACTAACAAGGAAGAAAGAAGAAGGGCCCTATTGAAAAAAAAATCATCCATGATTACAAAGAAATAGCATAATTTATATTTCCCTATACATAACACTCACTCTGTTCTTTTAAACAAATTTACAATAGATTATCTTTTTAAATTTTTATTTATTATTAGTATATTTTTTTTTAATTTGACCGGAGAACTAAAGAGAGAGAGAAAGTGAGAAAGCCAGCTGCCAGGTCCAGGACTCAAACCACGGTCAGCCACATGGGGGTCCAGCACCTCAACCACCATGCCACCTGCCAGTCCTCAATAGATTACTAATTTTCAATTCACAGTTCAAGCACTGATCTCTCGGCTAAAACTGGAGATTTAAATATTTTATATGATACACAAACCATAAATAGTCTATGGGTAAAATAAAATGCATAGAAATGACTAATTCTAGGATTAATGCTACTCATATCTTTGTATAGATTAATTATCACTTACATATAAAATATTAGGCCCCTGATATAGGAGATAACACAATAGAAATATACGCATTGTGTTTTCATATACTAAATGCCAAGGTTGTTAAGTTGCTTAGAAAATAAAATGTGTCTCATATATTTAAATTTATGATATTCAGAAATGTATAATCTCTGCATAATGATAGAAATAAATATAGCTTAAGGTAAAAAGTGAATCAAGTTCATTGATGTTCTGCCAGTAACCTTAAACTCCATGAGGAAAGAACACCAAAGTCAATGATTTACAAAAATAAAAGAAAAAAGCAGTTTCTTCTTGAGTTAAAGCATGGACACAGTTCAAAGAGCTGGGAGCTGAATGCAATGTCATGCTCAATTACATGTATAATAAATATGTTTTGATAGAGATGATGCGGATTTATTACAGACTTTAAGGCAATCAGAGCATAAACCATACATGAATGTGGCAGGTTTCTCATAACATATACAAACCTAATATGAAGACAGGGAACATAATGAAAATGACAGTAAGCTCTGATCATTTTTTAGAAAACTGATATTTAAATGATATTGGAAGTAGATCCAAATGCACAAAGAAGGCATAAAAAGCACAAAGACTAGCCAGAGGGAATAATATTACATTTCATTACTAAGAGATGGTTCATACCTTTAATAGCAGGATAAAGAAGAGAAGGCACATAATTTTTGTTTATCAAGAGCTAAAATGAACTAAATTTAACTGAAAGTGGTCAGCCACTCATTCTAAAACTGCCAACCCATTCACAGCATTATAGTCAGTCTACATGAGCGTGCTTATCACTGAAGGAAAGCCAGCCAGCAGGCAGGGGACTGTCCCAGGTTTCAGACATATCCAAATGCTTTACCTTCATTTTATAACCAAATTCCCCATGAACATACATCTACGTTTATTGTGGCATTGTTCACAATTGCTAACACATGGAACTAACCCAAATGTCCATGAACCAAAGAATGGATTGAAAAAGTGTGGCATATATTCTCTACAGAATACTACTCACCCATAAAAAACAAGACCCTGGCTTTCGATAGAAAGTGGACGAATATAGAAGATTTACTACTGAGTCAAGCAAGCCAGACTATGTAGGAGAGACATTGTATGTCCCCACTTGATATATATCAACTGTCCACACTCTATGGTTGAAACTGAAAGATTAAGAGGATATATTAACGTGGAAAATGGTTATAGATAATGGTCACTGTGTGGGAAGAGGGTGGGAGAAGAAGGAGAGTGTGATGAAAGACATTTAG